CTGTCACTGGGGCCTGGGCGGGGGGCGGGCAAGCCGGCAGTCCGCCGGGCTGGAGATGGGGGTGGGGTGACAGGTGCCGGCGGGGCCCCGCCGAGGCCCCACAGGTGGTCTGCCGGGCGCCGGACCAGGCCCCTGGACCATCCAGGCCGCTCTTCTGCTCGCCACACCGCTCTTGATAAAGTAATGGAAATGCAGTGGCGCTTAAGAGCGAGGAGTTAGTAGTGAAACAGGGTAATACGCGCAGTAGTACTAACGACAGTAGTGATAATAAGGACACCTGTGTTTTCAGGCACTACCCATGTGCTTTACATTAATTATGTGACTTGAACTGAGGTATGGGTCGTATTCCCATTTTACAGGTGAGAACATTGAGGCTCCGAGAAGATAAGGAGCTTGTTTTAAGCTCACATGTTAGTAGGTGGTATGGAATTGGAACCTAGACCCATGTCTTTCCAAGTCCAAGGGCTTTGCCTTTAACCATTATGCCAGATCTGCAGACCTCGACCTCATCCGCCTTCCTTCCTGTGCTCATCTCCTTTTCTCTTCTTGGTTCCTCTCCCTGTCCAAGAACTGGCATAGGAAAGCTGGACTCCTGGTGTGTTTCTGCCATCTGCCATCCTCCGTTGTAGTGGATGTTCCCGGATGGGTAGCCCTGTAGTTATCATTTTGACCTCTTGTCCTTTCCCCCCGCCCCCTCAGCCTCCTGGGCGTGGTCAGTACCCCTTCTCCTCGGCCCCCCACAAACCCCTTCTTTTGGCCTTCACCCACCTCATTCAGCCTCTCAGTGATTGCCCCCTTCTGGTACGGTATAATCAAGGATTTAATATATGGGACATTTCTGGAATTATAGTCATCAAGTGTCATGCTTGTATAGCTTTCCTTTAAATGCCTCTTAGGTCAACAGTAAGATTAGATAGATAACCTTTATTTCTGTTTGGGCTTTTATGTTAAGATAAATGATAATTTGATCCTGGCTTTTGATCACCAGATGAGTGACTTTGGGCAGGTTATTTACTCTGTCTGCTTCCTTTTTCTTATCTTTAAAAGGCATCATAATATCTATTTTATAAGTTGTTGGGAGGCGGTAGTAAGAACGCATGTTAAGCATTCTAGGCAGTGCCTGATACATATAAATATATTAGCTGTTACATTATTTCTACTATTGCTGTATGCACAGCATCTTAAGAAACCATTGTAAACTATTAGATTGCATTTTAGAGTGTTCTTTAACTAGACTTGCTTAAGGGATCTAGTCTCAGCCTTTCTTTCTTCTCTTGTGTAATAGCAGTGCTTATTCCTGTGGACTGGTGACTCCTTTTTGTATTCTACCCTCAGCCTTCTGAGTTTGTATTCTTTTCTTCTGACTGTGCTGGTTGTCTTTACCTGTCAGGATACCTTAAATACACAAGTCCAAAACTGAGCTCATTATCTTTGACTCCCAAATTCACAGTCCTGTGTATTAGTTCCCTCTTGCCACTGTAACAAATTGCCACAAACTCCATGGCTTAAAGTGATAGTTCTGGAAGCCAGAAGTCTGAAATCCATTTCATTGGGCTGGAATCAAGGTGTCATCAAGGCCATGCTCCATCTGGAGGCTCTCGGGGAAAATCCGTTTCTTGCTAGTTCTGGCTTCTGGTGGTTGCATTCCTTGGCTTCTGTCTGCACCACTCCCATTTCTGCCTCCACGGACACATTGCCTTTGGTTCTGTGTTAAATCTACTTCTGCCCTTTTAAAATAAGGATACTTCTGATTGCATTTAGGGCCCACCCAAAATATTGAAGATACTTGCTCATCTCAAGATCTTTGATAACGACCTGGACAAAATCACTTTTGCCATCTGAGATAATATTCACAGTTCTGGAGGTTAGCATATGGATGTATTTGGGGCTGTTATTTGGCCCACCACATGCTAGCCCTACTATCTAAGCAGACTGCTGAGCTAGAAACCTAGGAGTAATCCTAGAGACTTTCCTCTCAGCACATCTTACAGCCAGTCACACTGATAATCTTTTCTGCCTCTTAGATTTTTAAAAAGTTACTCCATCCCTCCTGCTGTGCCTTAGTTCAGGCCCCATAAACTCTTGCATGGATTACTATGGTAGCTATTGCTTGTAATAGGGATTAGTAAGCTCTTTCAGTAAAGGACCAGATAAGTACCATGGCTTCAGCTTTGCAGGTCAGGAAGGTGGAACCCCTCAACTCTGCCATTGTAACACAGAAGCTGCCGTGGAAATACTTAAACACTTGGGTATAGCTGTGTTCCAACAAAACTTCAGTCAGGAAAACTGGTGGCTGGATTTGGCCCTTAGGTCTTATCCCCCTCTGATCTATCTTCTGTATTGCTGGCAGAATGATTCTTTCCAAGATGAAAATCCAGTCATCTTATTCTTGATTAAAACCCTCCCTTGGCTCACAGTTACTTTCAGGAAAATGGTCAGATACTTTCATGTGTCAACACGTTCTACTCCAGCAGAAGAGTAAGTTATTTGTGGTCAGGCAGACCTGGTTTAAATCTCACACAGTTGGGGTATTGAGTAGCCAAGTTTATTAATATTCCTAAGTCTCAGTTTCTTTCGTTCAGCAGAGATTACTAACTACCCAGAGTGTTGTAAAGCTCAAAGAGGTAATGCATGTAAAACAAGTGGTGTGTGGTAAGCATACATGCAAGAACAACTTGTAATTTCATGAATTGGCCGTGTTCTCCGATGCTGCTACTTTTTTTTTTTTTTTTTAGAGATTACTCAAATATTTTACTTACCTATTTGAGAGAGAGAGCAGGAGCAGAGGAAGGGGCAGAGGAAGAGGGAGAAGCAGGCTCCTGGCCAAGTGGGGAGCCTGACCTGGGGCTTGATCTCAGGACCCTTAGATCATGATCTGAGCTGAAGTCAGAGGCTTAGCTAAATGAACCACCCAGTTGCCCCGCTCCCTGATGCTTCTTGTCTTGGTACTTGATGTTTCCACCGCTTGCAGTGAGCTCCCGCATTCTCCCACTCTAGGAACACCTACCAGTCCTTCAAGATTTAAACTTTTCTTCCTGACCTCCCCAAGTGGAGTTAGGGCTGCTGTGTGTAGCGTTCTGTATACACTTTTATTACAACATTATCACCAGGCTGTGATGATTGGCTTCTGTGTTTAGCTGCTTTCTTAACTTTCCCACTAGACCATGAACCCCTGACGGTCAGAAATCTTCGACACCCTCACCTTCGTGCTTCCAGACACTGGAAGCATAGTGCTTGTCCTGGAGTAGGCGCTCAGTGTTTAGATGTTGTTTGGGGCACAAGGACCTTTTCCAGATGGCTTTATTCTGGTTGGTAACATAGGTCAATTCTTTTTGGTCTCTGTTTGAATTATAATTACTAACACTTATGAAGCTTTTTACATGCTGACTTGCCATATCCTCACAATAGATGACACTATGAGACTGTTTCCATTATATGGGTGAGAAGCTTTTTTTTTTTTTTTTTAAAGATTTTATTTATTTATTTGACAGAGAGATAGACAGAAGAGCACAAGCAGAGGGAGTGGCAGAGGGAGAGGGAGAAGCAGGCTCTGCACTGAGCAGGGAACCCGATGCGGGACTCGATCCCAGGACCCTGAGATCATGACCTGAGCCGAAGGCAGACGCCCAACCATCTGAGCCACCCAGGCACCCCTGGGTGAGAAGCTTTAAGGAAGAGCAAGATTAAATAATTTCTGCAAGCTTTAACAGCTAGTAGTGAAAAAGTTCTAACTCAGGTAGTCTAGGTCTGATGCTAGAGTGCCAAATTACTACACTTTACTGCGTTGCACCTCACGAATGTTTAAATTCTAACCTTTTCACTATACTGAAGGAACAAATTTTTCCTGTAAGTATTGTGTTTTATTTCTTTATTTTTAATCTTAGAAATATTAAGATTTTGTGAGGAAAGAAATGCACTTTGAAATCAAATGCCAGGGCCAGCAATACTAGAATACAGTTACAGCAGATCGTTATTGTCTAGGTAACTAAGGTGCAGACCCTCACGCAGGGTTCCTCCAATGATAGCGTCTGTGCATAAAACTATTATTACAGCGTGTTTATAATACAAGGATGGTGTTCAGTAGGCTCACTGGTAAAACACTGAACAGTTTGATTCAGAAATATCTGGAACAGTTTGACAAGGTACTTGTTGAGGTCTAGGTCAAAATAGATAGGAAAAAATACATGTCTGTGTCCCTACGGAGGTGGGGGGTTGATACATTTTGATAAATGTTAAAATCTTAAATATGTACAGTGCTGTGGAGTTAGAGGGTGGTGTAATTAGGGGGAAAGAGGTTGAGTTATTCTGTCCCTGCCCTTTCTGGCTAGGTGAATTAGAAAAATGTGTTTCCTCTGGGCATGCTGCCCTTCCTCTTTGTCTTTGCAGCCTCAGGCCTGGCTTGTGGAGCTGAGTGTGAGCTGGATTTCAGCCTCCATATGCCTTTGTGTGGGGCACAGACTGTCCAGCAGTTTGTGGTAGCCATGAGTGGAGCTGGTTCTTGAATGGTGCGTTCTCCAGATAGAATAGATTGGCAAGAACATTGTATGTTGAGGGAGCAACACAAGGATATACAAAAAGATGTGATAACACGTGGTGTTCTTTGAGAGGGAGATGCTCTGTGGAGTGTGGTATGTGTTCCTGAACTGGCTTCAGATGAGGTTGCAGAAAAGGGTCAGAGGTGGATTGTCAATGGTTTTGGAGGCTGTAATAGTTAAAATAATGGTCTCCTAAAGATGTCTGCATCCTAACCCTGAGCCTGTGAATAAGTTACATGGCAAAGGGTAATTAAGATTGCTGATTAGCTCACCTTAACATAGGGGGATCTGGATTATCCAGGTGGGCCCAGTGTGATGACCCAAGGGTCCTGAAATGTGGAGGAGAGAGGCAGTGGTGTGGGAATGCTGTGAAGTGAGGGAGACGGGAAGACCATTGCTGGCTGGTTTTGAAGATGGAAGAGGGACGTAAGCCAGTCCAAGGAAGTCTGTGGAAGCTGGAGAGAGCAAGGAAGTGGATTCTCTCCTGTAGTTACCAGAAAGAATTTTAGCTGAGTGAGACCCATTTTGGACTTCTGACTTGCAGAGTTTAAGTTAATTGATGTTGGTTTAAGCCACTGTTGGTGGTCATTTGTTTCAGCCCCTGTGGGAAATTCATACAGAGGCGATATTTGGAGACTATCTGGAAGCAGTGGGGAGTCTCTGGGAGCAGTTAGAGAACATAGCCAAGCTGTACAGGCTGTGGAGGCTGTGACCAGGTCGGAGACTGTTGTTGCTATTGTCTAGGTCTTAGGTCTTCCGAGAGGCAGGTACCAAGTTGGGATTAAGTGAATTGGAGATTTATTGGGGGGAAGTGTCTGCAGAAGTGAAGGAGAAGGAACAGAAATAGGGAAAGGAGGGAGGACGGAAGGAGGAGTCAGTAGGAAGAGTCTCAGGCTGCGGCACAGTCTAAGAAGGCTTATGCTGATGGGGTGTCCTGGATCCAAAGCTGCCCTCGAGGGGACTGTCCGGTCCTGCAGGAATGGGGCAGGAAGGGTCTCCAGTTGTGCTGCTGTTCTGAGTCATCGGGAGCAGCCAGGGAAGCATGGTGCTGTCAGTGGTGGCTCTGGAGGATCCACTCATCAACTACGGCTCGTCCTTCAACTGTGCTCCCTGCAGCCCGAGATCTGGGTGGTTTATTTCTAAGGCCACCACGTAGGGGGTGTGTGTTGGGGGTTCTGATGGAGAGTTGGGATTGAAGCTTGTTGAGAAACGTTGAGCTCTTTGTTTCAGTTTGGCACCTGTGGTTACTGTCGCTGAGAGACTCCATCTCTGCACCTGGGGTTCATTTAGACTGTCTTTGATAGTCGTCAGCTAGTGCTGTATAGGAACCCTGTGCTCTAATCCATGTTTCCCCCCTTTAATCAGAATTTGGCGTCGTTTGAGGCAGATTGCTTTTCTTGTCATGATTGCAGGAGGTGGAGCATTCAAGGACGTTCTTCTGTTTTCTTCTCCTGCTTTGAGGCTGTGAAAGCATTTTTCACTTTTGTGAGAAACGAGAGTTGTGAGAAGAGTGTTGGAAGAAGTCCTGGGGGTGGTGAGTGGTATCCACCCTGTTCTCCCCTCCGCCCCTCCAGCTTTCCCACCAGTGCTGGGAAGTCCCGGACAAGTACTGTTGCTGAAACATCTGTTCTCTGAGTTTAGAAGAGTGGCGCAGATTTCAGAGGGAGTGTGAGCACTGGAAGACAGGAGTGATTTGTTTTTAAGAAAAGAAAGGGCCGAAGGGGAGCTAGAGCGTTACTTTGTAGGAACATAGCCGACTTCTGTGAGTTCTAAATATTCCTTGGAATGTAACTGAGAGTCTTCTGGAACAAGGTTGGCAACCTTTTTCTGTAACAGGCCAGATAGTCAGTATTAGGCTTTGTGGGCCATGTGATCTCTGTCATAACCACAGAGACACTATGTAAATGAGAGGCTGTAGCTGTGCTCCAGGAAAACTGTTTGCAAGAACAGGCAGCCGGTTGGATTGGGCCATAGTTTGCTGACTCCCGTTCTAGTTCATCGGTGGTGTAATTATTTCCTTCTGTTTCTTTGACTTCTTTCTAAGAATATGTTGTGTAGCTCTACATTGTAATGGCCGGCAGAGTGCTGGAATAGTTCCATTCTTCCAGACTTTCTGTTAGGAGGTCAGCAGGCTAGACAGAGATGTGCAGTATTTCCTTGGAGGAGCCCACTTTGCCCATGCCGTATCTCTGATGGAGGCTGACCAGTGTGTCGCTCATCTGGCTCCTCCTGCAAGCCTTCTCTTCTTTGTGAAAACAGCTTTTTAGCTGATGATATCACAAATGCATGGGTGGACTGCCTCTAATTTTGATGTTGTGTTTGGGAGATTTACCTGATGGGACACAATATTCTCATGAATTTTTCTCTTACGTGATTATTCCTCTTCACTCTTCTCTGGAATGATTTGTAGGGATTAAGGCAATGTGTTAATATTCGTGTTTTCAGCATGTGAGGACAGAGAATAACCCTATCTGGGCTACATTAAGGATCTTGGGAAAGATGATATGTAGACTGTAAAATGAAATAAAAGCTGTCATCCCTTTACTGCCTGGAGTGTAATTTAAATAAATGAACCTTACAAATGCAACTTTTCCCTTTTGTGAGTCATGAATAATTTGGCAGCATATTCCCAGATCTGAACAGGAGTTCCTGCTTTTAGCATCTGTAATAAAATAATTTTCCTGAGTAGCTGAAATGAAATTCAGAAAATTGGGTTTATGCTAATGAAGAACATCAGTAATGAACATTTAGATAATGTAAAGTTAAAGGGCAAAATGTTACTTACTGTGGCTTCAGAGCATGACTGAGACATTTCTTCTGTTTATTGTTAATGCCCTCTTCTTCACTGTACCCCTAAATGAGGAGTTGTCAGGTTGGATTTGGCATGCCACTGATTGATGGTTAAAACTTGAAAAGATTTGTGCTAACAAGATACATTTCTCCAGTTAACTTCAATCTGTTCTCCAAAGTGTGTAAATAGAAGTATTCTCGTTGTGTTTTGTGGCTTATAGTCATTTTGCCCCTTATTTCTTAATATTCCTTGAAGGATGGACTGAAGGTAGAGTTTCTTCCTAAAATTGATGTGGTGATGATTTACTGTGTTCTCAGAGGTGAAGGAGGGTTGTGGTGGTGGTGGTTTGTGTGTGTTTTGAATGAATGAGGTTTTTTTTTTTTTTTAACCAATTTAAATTGTTACAAGCTTATATTTTTGATTCATGACAGCTTCCTTAAGGCATATTTCTTTCTAGAAGGAATGATGGTTTTTAATTAGAAGTGATGGTTGAATTCAATCCTGTAGTACCGGGGCGCCTGGGTGGCTCAGTTGGTTAAGCGACTGCCTTCGGCTCAGGTCATGATCCTGGAGTCCCTGGATCGAGTTCCGCATCGGGCTCCCTGCTCCAAGCAGGGAGCCTGCTTCTCCCTCTGACCCTCCCCCCTCTCATGTGCTCTCTCTATCATTCTCTCTCTCTCAAATAAATAAATAAAATCTTTAAAAAAAAAAAAAAATCCTGTAGTACCAAGGACTAGCCAGGCAGCACAATGTAAATGAAAAATGGCCTTGTTGTAAAACAGATGAATTATATGGTACATTATTTTTTCTTAGCTGACACAGTCTCCTTTTTCTTTTTTCAGATAAATGTAAATGAAATTACAAGATTTTCAGATTTCCCTTTGTCTAAAAAAACATTGAAAGGTAGGCATATGGTGATTTTGGGACGTGTTGTTGGGTTTCTTGATGTTTTTTATAAATGGAAAAAGATTTAGAGCATTTAACTTGAAAGATATTACTTTGGCAAATAATTTTGTTATCTTGAACCTCTAACACCAAGAAACAATATTAATTCATTCGAGTATTACCGATTTGTCGTTCTCACCCTTTCTGAACTAAAAAACAGTACTGAAAAAACAAGATGCCAGGGCCTCTCAGTAATTAAAATAAAATCTAGTTATGTTAGTTAAAATGAATAAGACAACAAAAGTGACATCTTTTATATTAATGTGTTAGGGCCACCAGAACAAAATCTCAGACTGGGAGGTGGGGGCTTAAACAACAGAAATGAATTTTCTCACAGTTCTGGAGGCTACAAGTCCAAAGATGGAGATGCTCTCAGGGTTAGTTTCCTCCGAGAGCCGTCCTGGAAGGCTCTTTTCTGGGACTCTCTCCTTGGCTTACGGATGACCGCTCTCTTGCTGCATCTCATGTGGTTGTCCCACTATGCAGTCATACTGTTGGTGTCTCTTTTTGTGTCCAAATTTCCCCTTATAAGGACACCAGTGACATCAGATCAGGGCTCATGAACTTAACCACCACTTCAGAGGCTTTCTGAATACTGTCACATTCTAAGGTACTGGGTGTTAGGGCTTCAGTGTACGAGTTTTAGGGGGCACAGTTCAGCCCGTACTCCTGTTTTACGGGGATTTTCTAAAGTGTCACTCTCTTCCCCTCCGCCCTGGCAGGTTTGCAAGAAGCCCAGTACCGTTTGGTAACTGAGATACAGAAGCAGACCATTGGATTGGCTTTGCAAGGTAAAGATGTTCTTGGAGCTGCCAAGACAGGATCTGGCAAGACTTTGGCTTTCCTTGTTCCAGTAAGTAATTTTTTTATATTGGGTCAGGTCCTCTATTACATGCTTTTAAAACATTCTATGCCTAGGTAGAAATCATGATGTAGAGAGTTGTTTCCTGTTGGATTTCTTTGGCTAGATTGCAAACTGTGTCAGGCGGGGGCCCCAACTGTTCTGTTCTCCACCATATTTCCTCCATCCTAACACGGTGCCTTGCACATGGTGGGCACTTAGTAACTTCTTGAATTAGTGAATTACTGTGCCTCGACAAGCCTTTGCATTCCTGAAGCATGTGGGTCTTCCAAGCAGCAGGTGAGAATGGTTCCGCCCTGTTGTAGGACCGCTGGGGCAGGCTGGGGAGGCTGTTTATGCACTCATGCTTGCAAACCTGCCAATTGCATTTATACTTGCCACTTGTTTAGGATAAAGCTGAAATATGCTTACTTTAAGGAGATTGGGTGATTCATTGAGAATTTTCCAGGACATTGGTAGCTGTCATTTTTGAGCAGTGAAACAATAGAGCCTCTTAGGAAGGTACTTATATCTCAGTTATGCAGTTGGTCTCATAATTTAATTCCTCAAAATAATTGGCTTAGAAAAATCACATTTGAGTTTTTGTTCCAAGTACTGCAAAACCATTTTTCCCTTAAATCCAATTTTTCAAAACGATGTTTCTCTACAACTAGAAAGTTCAGTCACTGTATAATTACAGTAACTACACGGATGAAAGTTTAATGTGGTTTCTGTTCAGAAAATGGTGACAGATATTTTTCCGAAATCTGTTTTAATAGTTTGAGGGCTGCACGTAGCTCTCACTGATTGCCAGTCTCCTGCCAGGGCTCTGGTGGCAGCTGACCTGCTGTGAGGTTTATGTTTCCTTCCCTCTATGACTTGAGCGATCTGGTGGCTAGAAGAAAAAGAAAAAAACAAAGCAAAGAGTTGTTCTTTCTGATTGGATGACACTTGTGACTGGTATGTCCTCTGCTTGGAAGGTGCCTTTGATTTGGAGGAGCAGGGTTGGTTCAGGAATCAAAATGCTGCCTTCTGAAAGACTTACTAAACACAAATTTGCTGTCTTTTTTGAGGTGCTGGAAGCCTTATATCGTCTACAGTGGACCTCAACAGATGGGCTGGGGGTTCTGATTATATCACCTACGAGAGAACTGGCCTATCAGACCTTTGAGGTTCTCCGAAAAGTAGGAAAGAATCATGACTTTTCAGCTGGTCTCATCATTGGTGGAAAGGTTTGTCCTTTTGTCTTGTCCTTCTTTTTTCTATAACTTATATTGGAGCACTGTGGCAGTTGACAGGAAAGAGGTGGAGATTTCATTTAAACAGGTAGGCTGGCATCCTGGTGGGGTCACTGTCATCTAGGGTTCTGATTATCAATTCTGAAGGTCCAGAAAGTCAATTTTTGTGAGGGTTCTCTGAGATTATTGTACTCTAAACAGCCTGTAAATCTGTTTGTTAATTTACTTGGGAAAGGTACCATTTGAATATTTGGACTAGTTCCTTTTAAGAAAATATCTAAGAGGTTGAATAATTCAGAACATTGCTGGCTCAGCAGCAGAAGAAAGCAAGACCGTTTTGTTTTGTTTTTAAAGATTTTATTTATTAGAGAGAGAGAGAGAGAAACAGCATGAGAGGGGAGAGGGTCAGAGGGAGAAGGAGACTCCCCGCTGAGCTGGGAGCCCGATGTGGGACTCGATCCCAGGACTCCAGGATCATGATCTGAGCCAAAGGCAGTCGCTTAACCAACTGAGCCACCCAGGTGCCCCAGAAGACAGTGTTTAAAAAAAATTTTTTTTAAACTTTATTATTTTTATGTTTAAAGATTTTATTTATTTATTTGAGAGAGAGAGCAAGAGCATGAGAAGGGGGAGAGTCAGAGGGAGAAGCAGGGTCCCCGCCGAGCAGGGAGCCCGATGTGGGACGCGATCCCAGGACTCCAGGATCATGACCTGAGCCAAAGGCAGTCGCTTAACCAACTGAGCCCCCCAGGTGCCCTAAACTTTATTTTTTTAACTGAAGTATAGTTAGCACATAATTACATTAGTTTCAGGTGTACAACATACTGATTCAACAAGTCTGTATGTTTTCGTGTGCTCTCAAGTGTAGCTGCCACCTGTCACCATACGATGCTATCACAGTACCGCTGACTCTATCTCCTGTGCTGTGCCTTTCATCCCTGTGACTTAGTCATTCCATAACTGGAAGCTTGTATCTCCCACTGCCTTTCACCCATTTTGCCCATCCCTCTCCACTCTGGCAATCATCAGTTTGTTTTCTGTATTTATGGGTCTCTTTCTGCTTTTTGTTGTTGTTGTTGTTTTGTTTTGTTTTTTTTTTTGGATTCCACATGTAAGTGAAATTATATGGTATTTGTCTTTTTCTGACTTACTTCCCTTAAGCATAATATTCTCTAGGTCTGCCCATGTTGTTGGAAGATCTCATTCTTTTTTATGGCTGAATAGTGTTCCTTTATATAAATATACCACATCTTTTTTATCCACTCATCTGTTGATGGACACTTGGGTTGCTCCCGTATCTAGGCTATTGTACATAATGCTACAGTGAACATAGGGCTGTATATATCTCTTCAAATTTGTGTTATTTTCTTTGGATAAATACCCAGAACTGGAATTGTTGGATCGTATGGTAGTTCCATTTTTAATTTCTTTGAGGAACCTCCATCCTGTTTTCCACAGTGGTTGCATCAATTCACATTCCCACCCACAGAGCAGCTGGGTTCTCTTTTCTCCACATGCTCGCGCCAACACTTACTTCTTTTTGGTATCAGCCAGTCTGGCAGGTGTGAGGTGATAGCTCATGGTGGTTTTGATTTGGATTTCTCTGATGGTTGGTGCCATGGAGCATCTTTTCATATGCCTGTTTGCCTTTGGGAAACTGTATGTCTTTGGGAACTGTATGTCCTTGGGAAAATATCCAAGTCCTAAGCCCACTTTTTAATTGGGTTGTTTGGTTTTTTGGTGTTGAGTTGTAGAAGTTCTTTATATATATAATGTATATATGACATATATTGTATATAAATAGGATATTATAGGATATTATATATCATGATATATGAAGGATATTAACCCCTTGTTAGATATGTCATTTGCAGATATCTTTTTCCATTTAGTAGGTTGCCTTTTCATTTTCTTGATGGTTTCCTTTACTGTACAAAAACTTTTTACTTTGATGAAGTCCTAATGGCTTGTTTTTGCTTTTGTTTCCCTTGCCTGAGGAGACATATCAAGAGGAATGTTGCTAAGGCCAAGAGATCACTGCCTATGTTTTCTTCTAAGAGTTTTATGCTTTCAGATCTTATGTTCAAATCTTTAATCCATTTCGAGTTTGTTTTTGTATGTTCTATAAGATAGTGGTCCAGTTTGACTTTTTTGCATGTATCTGTCCAGTTTTCTTAACACTATGAATAGAAGAGACTGTCTTTTCTCCATTGTATATTCTTTTCTCTTTTGTCATAGATTAATTAATATATGTGTGGGTTTATTTCTGGGCTCTGTATTCTATTACATTGATCTATGTGTCCATTTCATGCCAGTACCATACTGTTTTGGTTATGATAGCTTTGTAATACAGTTTGAAATCTGGGATTGTGGTACCTCCAGCTTTGTTCTTCTTTCTCAAGATTGCTTTGGTTATTTGGGGTCTTTGTGGTTTCATGCAAATTTTAGAATTCTTTGTTCTATTTCTGTGAAAATGCCATTGTTATTTCAGTGGGGATTGCATTGAATCTGTCTGTAGATTGCTTTGTGTAGTATGGACATTTTAACAATATATTTACTATCTGTGAGCTCGAGACATCTTTCCATTTGTGTAGTCTTTAGTTTCTTTCATGAGTGTCTTAAAGTTTTTAGAGTATGGGTACTTTGAAAATTTTTTTATCTTTTTGTTAATTCTTAGGTATTTTGTTATCTTCTGGTGCATTTGTAAATGGGACTGTTTTCTTAATTTCTTTCTTATTGCTTGTTATTAGTATATGGAAACACAAATGATTTCTATATGTTAATTTTGTATCTGTGACTTTACTGAATTCATGTATTGGTTCTCATACTTTTTTGGTTGAGTCTTCAGGGTTTTTTATATATAGTATCCTGTATCAGCAGATAGTGACAGTTTTACTTCTTCCTTTTCTATTTGGATGCCTTTTATTTCTTTTTCTTGCCTAATTGCTCTGGCTAGGAAAAGCTTTTAGTTTTTTACCATTGAGTATGATGTTAGTTTTGAGTTTGTCATATGTGGCCTTTATTATATTGAGGTATGTTCCTTCCATACCCACTTTGTTGAGAATTTTTATCATGAATGGATGTTGAATTTGGTCATATACTTTTTCTTTTCTTTTTTTTTTTTTTTAAAGATTTTATTTATTTATTTGACAGAGAGAGACAAAGCGAGAGAGGGAGCACAAGCAGGGGGAGCGGGAGAGGGAGAAGCAGGCCCTCCATGGAGCAGGGAGCCGGATGTGGGGCTTGATCCCAGGACCCTGGGATCATGACCCGAGCCAAAGGCAGACACTTAACAACTGAGCCACCCAGGCGCCCCGGTCATATACTTTTTCTGCATCTATTGAGATCATATGATTTTAATCCTTCGTTTTATTAACGTGGTATATATCATGTTGATTTGCAGATGTTGAACTGTTCTTGCATCTGTGGAATAAATCCCACTTGATTGTGGTGTATGATTCTTGTAATGTATTGTTGGATCTGGTTTGCTAATATATTTTTTATCATTTTATTTTTTTCATCATAATAAGTGTACTCTAATCTCCACCCTGTATTTCCCGCATCTCTCCACTCACCTCCCCTCTTGTAACCATCAGTTCTCTATAGTTAAGAGTCTGTTTCTTGGTTTGCCTCTCTTTCTCTTGTTCTCCTTTGCTCATTTGTTTTGTTTCTTAAATTCCACATATGAGTGACACCATAAAGTATTTGCCTTTCTCTGACTTATTTCACTTAGCATAGTACACTGTAGCTCCATCCATGTCATTGCAAATGGCAAGATTTCATTCTTTTTTATGGCTGAGTAATATTCCATTGTTTATATATACACCATCTCTTTATACATTCATCAGTTGATGGACACTTGGGCTGTTTCCATAATTTGGCTTTTGTAGATAATGCTGCCATTCAGGGTGCATGTATCCTTTTGAATTAGTATTTTTGTATTCTTTGGGTAAATACCTACTGGTGCGATTGCTAGATCCTAGGGTAGTTCTATTTTTAACTTTTTTTTTTTTTAAGGGCTCTTTAGACAAAGGTGTCTAGTATTTTTTTTAAAGATTTTATTTATTT